TGGTCTTTTAGGAAACAATGGATTAACTGGGTACTCAATAAAATCTACATATATACCTGCAATATTTATTATAGTGTTTACACTCCTCTAATGAGACAGCTACATTTGAAGTGATTTTGTGACATTGAGTGCCCATTCAAATTCAGAAATAAAGCCGAATTCATGCATGGTATTCGGCAGACATGACTTTGGAATTAGTAGCGAAAGTCATAGACAAGACAAGAGAGATTTGAATGGCTGGTGATATACCACTGCCTTTTTTAAAATTAATGGCAATCTTCAACTTTCTACAGCTATGTTAGCAAGACACATTTGTGTTCATCTGGCCTTAAATTGGCTGATGGCTTCCTGCATGTGCCATTTGCTTATCACTTTATTCTCTACAAGTTCTACAAGCTGAAATTGAATGGACTTGTCTTTGCCTTAACCCAGCCAAGCTAAATGTGGCTTGTCTTTTGTTTTTGTTTTTTTTATTTTAATCTATGTTACTAACTGTTCAATGTTAAGCCATCATTTTGTTACAAGGTAGAATTTTCTCAAGCTGAAAAAGCCACAGCTGAGTGTTCCCTTAGAGACGCCTCTTACTGTGAGATGAATAGGGCCTGCAGACAGCTCTGTGTTAATTGTACGTGACGGCAAGAGAAATAAACTGTGCTCTGGAGTCATCAGTCAGTGTTTTTAAAAGAAGGATCTGCCTTTAGAGTATCACAGCTGTCAGGATCCTTTGCTCCGACACATAAACCCACTCTGCTCAGATCCATGAAAATAGTATTTTTCACATCTTGGCTATCTCATTTTTTTTTAATGGATGCCATAAATCCTACAGACCTATGGTCCTTACATCCTTTATTCCATCCAGCATGGCTGATTATGGTTAGCTAGAATATAGTGCAATGTGCTATGATCATTTTTTTTTAAATGTGATTATTGTCAATGATGCTAAGAGCTTATTTAGCAGCAGGGAAAAGTGGTGTCTGGCCATATTTCTGAACCTAATGTTCATACTTAAAAAAAGCTTGACATATGGTTGACAGTTTATGTGAGGGATGACACTAACACATATATATATATTATAGTCAAGATTCATTCTTCAAATGTCAGTATTGGTTTCAAATAATAGTTACTGAATATTTCATCCCAGTAAAATAAAAGAAAGTGAACAAATCCAAAAAATTCCTACATACGTTTCTAATCAAGCTATTGATCTACTGTTTTCCTTTGATTCTTTATTGTTGTGACGTGTCACCTCATGTGGTTTTGATGTAGTTTTTAAAAAAATATCAGAAACCTGGCCAGTTGTTTTCCGCATTTGATCTTTTTACAGTAAGTTGAAAGGGCTTTGACTATTTTTGTTTTTCAAAAATTTGGAACCAGATAGTGCTGTAGGCTTTCTCTTTGCTGACTTGTCTGCCTGTCCCTTTAAGATTAAGAGTGTCAGATTCTCTCAGGAGTGATGCTGCTGCAAAGCTGAGATACAGAGGAGAAAAAATGGGTCATGGACTCATAGGTGAAAGTCCCTGAAGGGGAAGACCCATAAGGCAATAGCAACTGCCAGCTCTTTTCTGCTGCGTAGTTTGTAGAGTTAAAGCTGAGTAGAGAGGATTTTAATTATTTATATCCTTGAAACAATGTACGGCAGAGCATCACAGAGCACCAAAGTGCTTCTTGTGTGGTTAAATGTGCTTAAATGTTGTCAAAAGGTTCAATCTAACATTGTATATTTTAAGATTAATCAGTATAGGCCATGATCTTTAAGGAAGCTACTGTCCATAGATGCAGCTTTGTATACACAATGCATTCACAGCATTTCTTTCTTTCTGAAAAGCAGCAACCAAACATAAACTGTTGTTTATTTCAGGTACACACCATGAAGTGGAAATAAGTATTTGTAGAGAATGAAATGCAATTGAACTTAAATATTTATGAATAAATTGAAACCTTTAGTGCAGACTTTTCCCTTAGACTTAACTTAACTCATCTTTATTCTGATGTTGTATCCTGTTAAACTGGATGTGAAGGAGCATTTAAATATTACCGAGGGGTGTGTTTGTGCACCGCTGGGCCTGTTTGGTTGACACAGCTGTTGCTCAGTGTTTGTTCAGGTCCTTTCCCTTCTTTCTGACTGTTCTTTCTTCTATTGTTCTACCCTTATCAGTAGGTCAGAGGAAAAATCTGCAGTTTCGTCCTTCTGATATAGTTGAGGTTTTTTTATTATTGTAAATCAATGCTGATGCTGGTTAGTTTAATATCTAACTTTGCAATTTTTTGGATTATGTATAGAATTATGTATAAAATGTGTCTTAGTATCGCTATGGAGTGGGCTCAGCTCGGACCAGTTGCCTTAGTTACCTCATAAAGATATCTTTTTAGGAGATAGATATATATCTAAAAACCAACAAAAATTTCTTTTTAAAAAGAAAAATTATATGAGATGTATTGGCATGACTGGAAACCTGTTCAGGATGCACCTCTCACTAGAAGACATATAGGCTATATTGGCATAACTTGCTAGTACTTTTAAATACATGCAGTTTAAACACAATATAGTTATTTGCTTAAGGAAAACAAGTCTTCTTTGTATTTTGTTCAAATGTCTTAAAAAAAACCTGTAGGTTTAGTTTAAGTAGTAAATTTCCTTTTTCATACTTGGTGGATTGTAAATTGATGTTGACTGTTTACAAAATAACTATACACATCTTTAAAAGTTGGTTTTGAATTTCACCAGTGTTAGTCTTGGTGAAGACGTTAAGACTCATTGTCCTTTAAGTCGAAGCGTGCTTTAAATCTTTATTCAATTTCTGGCTGGGGCCTTTCTGTGTGGAGTTTGCACATTCTCCCGTGTGTGTGTGGGGGTTAGGTTAACTGTGACTTCAAATGGACCCAATGAGAAAGTGTGAGTGCATGGTTGTCTTGTTGGTTTCTCTATGGCCCTGTGAGGGACTCACCTGTCTGGGTTACACCCTGCTCTATCCCAAAGATCACACTGTATCCACAGTAAAAAAAAAATTATAGGCAAGTGGTAAACAGGCAGTTAGCAAATTTTTAGAAAATACCTGGGTGAAATGTGATGTGTGTATAAATATGATTAACTTAAAGTGGGTTTGTGCCAGAATGATGAGTCCTCGTTCCCTCCTTGTCCATTTAGACAGAAAAGCATATCTTTAGTCTGTATAAGCACCAAACATGTCAACGTTTGGCTGGTCCAATCGGCTTCCAAGTCCTCCTAGCTCTGTAGAATCTTTTTTCTTGTAAAAATGATTATTTCCCCATATAATGTAAAGCAGCGTTGTCACAATCCACATTTGTGGTTAAATTCAGAGGGGAAAAAAACATATAGACAAAAAATAAACACATTTGAACTTCAGGTTTATGCTTAAATGTGTAGTGAAGAGAGCTTCTTTTATCTGAGAGGCACAGAAGAAGAGGAAACACAATGGCATTACCCCTGCTTGTTTTCAGGAGTGTTTCTCCCAGTGGAAAGGATGGTTGAAGTCAATCTTTTAGGAATTAAAGTGCACCTTATTAAATGTTCTTTAAATCAACCACCCAATAAGTCAGCAACTCCATAATGAGTGTATTGGCTGTTTGTTAGTATGGATTGCTTTTGCTGCTTGGCTGACACAGCAGCTAACACACCAGGACAAAAGCTGTACTGGAAATACTTTGAAGCTCAGTTGGGGGAATTCCTACTATTCCAAGTTCTTCCGTCCCACAGGAGGTCAGGCGCAGTTCATTTGATTCACATGAGGCACAGGCTGGGGTCTAGCTGTGTTTCTGGATTCACTCGGTCAAATTTCAGTCAGTTGAAGCAATTTTTCCCCACCCTGGTCCTCACTGCACACCTAGCCCTAACCTGCATGTCTTCCCAGTTTACCAACTCCAGTACAGCTGATTTAAATGAATGGATGTTGATCAGCCTTTTACAAAGCTCAAACAGCTGAAGAGCCGTCCTATTTATTTGACTCAGGTGCACTGGAACAGGGAAACATGGAAAATATGCAGGAAAGTGTTCCTTGAGAAACAGGGTTGGGAACTATTGGGTTACAGAACATGCATATGCCTGCTTCTGGAGGATAACACATCTATAATCATACAAAGAGCTAAATGATAGCACTCCATGTATTATTTTGGAAGCAACAAAACAATCTTCCAAGCAATCCCAGTCTTGATTCGATGTGTGTAATCTTTTCTGAATGAGCCCTTTGGGTAATCTATGGTAATCTATCCGTATTTGTGTGGACTCAGGTTTTAGCCAGCACCAAGAAGCTTAGCATTGGTCCACAATGTTCATCATAAATGGATTTATTTTAATACAGCTGGCAGATGGTGGGAGCACAGATCAGGCCAATTTAAGCACTGTGGCATGAATGTGCCTATCTTGTTATATGCTCACAGGGTCTGATGTCTCTTTCACACAGGCAAGTGTCCAGTTTCTCAATTTTTTTTTTAATTTAATTAAATGAATAATACTTTATTTGTTCCTGAGGAAAATTCTGTCTTAAATAATAGATTGATTGCCCAACTATTTGTTTTATTTGAGGAAATGTATTCTAAAATTGCTTGTAGTTTTGTTGAGACCGTTTTCACAGTCGTATATTTGCAGTCTTTTGTTTCCCCAGTTCCTGCTTTTTCAACATGTCATGCCATCATCAAGTATTAGCTCAGCTAAAGTGGCTACAATCAAATTGCATAAAACTGATCGCATACTTTTACTTTGTACATCGCCAAGAGATATCTGTTCTGATCCGTAATGGCTTCATATTTAGGGCGTTGCTTTTATGGCATAGTTGTGTTTCAAATTAGCTTCATGAGATGTATGTATGCTGTTTGCTGTCAACTAAAATAGAAATCAATTAATGTGTATAACAGCATAAAACTGTACAGTATTTACAACATGTGAAAGCGTGGAACCTGTTACACACATGATATTCTATACCATCTGCCCACCCAATTGTGATTAGTCACTCACTGTCTGATGAAGGTTTTTCTTTTTCTTACAGAGATTATGAATGATGTAATCAAGAAGGTTAAGAAGAAGGGAGAATGGAAGGTGAGAACTTCCCTTTCATTACAAAGTAACTGAAAAACTGGACCATTTTGTTATAAAATGAGCCATAAGTTCTATTGTAGGTTTTTCCCATTGAATTTTAAATGTTTAGTCTCAGAAAGGTCAGTTCCAAATACATGTTTTGTAGCGCTTTACAGCTAATTTGCGTGCTTTTAGGAACCGATGTAATGATGAGGACAATATTCTAGCTGCTCTGAGCCAGTGATAGACCTTGAATTGAAAAAGTCACTTTCTATCACTTTCAATGATAAAAAAATAAAATAAACCTCACTAGTTATTGCGGCTAGGACAATTCACCCTTGATTTGGACCTAATTACCAGATCAACCAGCTTAAAAAACAAAAATATGTAACAGTCTGGCTGTTGAGCTGCTCATATTACCTGGCCAAGACTTCTACGGGCATGCAACCTTGTAAAAGTTAGCTTTCTCTTCTTTAGAATAATTATTTGGTTTTAACATGTACAGCTGAATAACCCCGATCCTAGCCTTGTCTTTCTCTGGCAAACCAGCCACACGCAATTGAGGAAATAAATAACTCAAGTTATTTTAAGGACAACTATTAAGGGTCTTTAAAATTCAGGAATAACAAAGCTTCTTTAAAAATTAATTTTAGTTAGAAACTAACTGTCAGAAACATGTAATGTGAAGATTTGAGTATTTTGCAAAGTTCCTGTCTTCCCCTATCCGATTCCCAGGCCCTGATTGTGGACCAGCTGAGCATGAGGATGTTGTCGTCCTGCTGCAAGATGACAGACATCATGACAGAGGGCATCACCAGTAAGAAATCATTCCTGCTAAAATTTCGCAGAGCTCAGAGGGCTTAATATTTGCCTGTGTGCATGTGTATGTGTAACTAACTGTGTGCATGCCTGTCGTTGCCACTCTAGTTGTGGAGGACATCCACAAACGACGAGAACCTCTCCCCAGTCTGGAGGCCATTTACCTGATAACACCCACAGAGAAGGTAAGCTGGCTATCTGTTGAGGGGCAGGCCTGTGCCTTTTGTGAGCACCGTATGTCCACAACTTGACCAAAACTTCTAAATCAGAAATGGTGCAAGTGTTGCACATTTATCTATCTGAAACCAATCATCATTAGACTTCAGATCCATGATAAAATCTGAAAAGAATGGATTTATAACATGTATACTTTGAACCTTTGTTGTACTTTTATGGGCTGTCATTACGGACTGGTCATTTATTACTTTGTATAAGCTCTCAAACAATGAACATAAATTATTTTGTAACACAAAATCATATCAAGAAAAAAACAGTTTCACTGAGGTTTCTATAACACTACAGATTTGCACTTTAAGAATGAACATCTTTAGGTAAATTCAACAATGTGTCTCCTTCCTTTTTCAGTCTGTTCACACCCTCATTGGAGACTTCAAAGACCCTCATTCAGCTAAATACAAGGCAGCCCATGTTTTCTTCACTGACTGTGAGTAACACATGGTTATCTTTGTTATGAATCTTTTTTTGAAGGTTTTGTTTGAGTAATTCCTTTCAATGTTGCCATAGTAACCATTCAATAAATACATCTTGCCTCTATTGTGAATGAAGCCACATGCCCCAGCATGTTTTGAGTTTGAGTGAAGATGGTGTAATTAAAGAAATCAATGGATCCACGTATAGTAATATTTTTGCTGCTGTTTTTGCTCTGTTATGAGTAAAGTGTTTTGACAGTGCTGTTTGAGAGAATATAATATAGTTTAAGCAAAACATTAATTGATTAAGTACGGATCAATTTAGTTCTGTAATTATTGGTGCTAGCAAATTAATAAATAGTAAATGGACATGTCTGTTCCTCCTAGCCTGTCCTGATCCTCTCTTTAATGAGTTGGTTAAGAGCCGTGCTTCCAAATCCACCAAGACTCTGACGGAGATCAACATCGCCTTCTTGCCCTACGAGTCTCAGGTGAACATCCAGCAACACGACATGCTCTTTTGCTCTCAACATGTCTCATTTGGTAGCTGCACTTAGATAAATATTTATTGTGGACTGTCTGTTACTTCCTTCTCTCTCCAGGGAAAAAATAGGAACCTAATACACTATAACTATTACACTGAATAATTAATTTATTCATTCCATTTGTGCTTCATCCTGTCTATTGTTTATTCAAAAGCAAAACAGGAGAAAATGTATTCACAGGTCCAAGAAATCCAAATAAGTCCCCTGAGATAACTTATTTATGGCGGCCTGCAGTTCCCAAAGGTCTCTTAATTTTCCAAGGCCTAGTTTCGTCCTGTAAGGGGTGATAAATGATTATCTGTGCCAGAAAATGATAAAAGTTCTAAGAGCCTATTGCAGGTCTGAGGAACAAGTTGCAGAAAAATCTCAAAATGATATGGTAACTCTTCCCCTGTGATACCTGAGAGTTCAAAAAGGATTATGATCCATCCATGCATCCATCCAGCCATCCATCCATCCATTTTCGTAACCTCTTTCCTAATTGGGGTCGCGGGGGCACAGGAGTCTATCCCAGTGTTACAAACTGTTATTCGGACCCCAAAACACCCTGAGTCAGGACGGTCAGTTAAACAGATTTTATTAACAGACAGGAATCTCCGGTAGGCGTGGTCAGGGTTCGGCAATTTGTGATCAGAGTCCAGCGACACAGCCAAGGCGTAATCCAATTCGTGGTCCAGAACAGAGCGAGGGTCGAAGCCAGGGGAGCAGTCCAGAGGGGCAGACGGGAACTCGGAGTCAGACAGGCTGGGTCGGGGCACGGGCAGGCAGGCAGGGCACAGAGATTCACGAGGCAGAGCTCAGGCAGGCAGACGAAGCAGACAGGGATCAGGCAAGCTCGGAAAACGGAGTCAGACAGGTCGCATCAGGCAGGCAGAATAGATAACGCTGGAAGGACTCACAAGTTGGCTGGAGATGTTCTGGCACAGAGGAGTGAGTGAGCAGGGTTTAAGTAGTGGCGGTAACAGGTGAGACCAATGTCGTTAATTGCTGAGTGAAGAGGTGAGTGAGAGAGAGCCGGTAGGCGGAGCCAGAACGTCACACCCAGTTGTCAATATACCCCTAGTACACCCTTGACAGTCCACCAGTCCATCGCAGGGTAACACAGAGACACACAAAGCCCTCAAACACACTCACACTCACTCCCTAAGACTAACTCACTCCCTAAGAGAAAAGGTCCTGGTTCCCCCAGGGTGTATGCAATAAGGGGAAAACCTTATTACATACACCTCACTCTGTTAGCATTTACACATCGTCAGGATTGGCTGTTGATTCAAATAGTTTGTTTTACCCCTCCCTGCCATGGTTTACCTCTCTTTAGCCAAGCACACGTTTAATGAATGTAACCTGACTCCTTTTAAATGCTCGTAAAAAAAAAACGTGGCATTGAAAGATCCGAAGACATAAAGCTGTAGCACACTAAAGCAGCCAAAGATCGATTGAACCAGGTGGGAGGACAGCGATGCTGTTAAAAGGCAATGATGGGAATAGTAACAATGTGGTTTCTGGTTGTTTGATTTTGAGATGGCTAAACAGTGTAGGAGAGAGGTGAAAGAGGAGAGGAGAGAAACACAAACACGCGCTCAGGTGGTGTCTTGGCACACTGCTGCTGACTCACTGCTGGAGCTGTTTACTGCCAGACTCTTCCAGAAAGACTCACATTTGTCACAATGACTTGTCTCCCTCCCTAATTTCCCACCCTTGCGGCATGTCTAAAATGCTGCCTCCACCATCACTTTTTGCCCTGCCTCCCAGTTTCTCCATCCTTGTGTTTATGTGTTTCCTGTATTTTTCTGCAACATTTAATTGTATTCATTCCAAACCTTATTTTTATTCTAACCTCATCTAATCATTCCAACCCCCCTTTTATCCATTTCTGTCTACGTTTCTATGTGAGGATGCTGCCTGGCCCACAATGCTTTGCTCCCTTCCTGTCAGGTATGATTAATTCAGACTCAGTGGCTTTCTGCTCCAGGCTAAATGCTGCCTCATTGCTCCACCCTCCGCTAGATCGCTCTTGTTCCATTGGATGGACCGGGATCTACACTTGGCTTGGGCCAATGGTTGCCGGGTCAACACAGGAACCCTTCTGCAGTTCAGTTCAGACAAACAGTCATGTGACTCTGGACAGATGGAAAGGGAGGAGGGAGTGGGACGATAATGCAGGGGAGGAAGAGGGAACAAACAAGAGGGGAGGAAAAGAGAGGAGACATAGGGCAGTGGAAAGGTGACCCAAGGAGAGAGCAGGCCCAAACACGAAAAATAAGGAAACAATGGAGATAAGAGGAGAAGGAAAGCGGAAAGCGAGTGCGACTGAAATAAAGAAACAGAAAAAGAAAAAGATGAAAACGTGAGAAAAACTGTAGTTTCTATATGTGAGAAAAAGAAAGGGAATTCTAAAAAAGCACATGGAGACATCACATTGCAGCATATTTGACGTTTCTTTGTTTTTGTGTGCAGGTGTATTCTCTGGATAACCCTGACGCCTTCCACAGCTTCTACAGCCCTCATAAGACTCAGCTGAAGAACCCAGTGATGGAGAGGCTGGCTGAGCAGCTGGCCACTCTTTGTGCCACCCTGAAGGAGTACCCTGCTGTTAGATACCGAGGGTGAGCAGCAGAGGATGCTCTATAGACTACAGACTGTTTCTACTGTATAGAATTGTATTTATTTATTTATTTTTTAAATTTGTCAATTGACTTAAGCATCTTTTAAATGTCTCTTTTTGGTTAAGATTATTCATAAAAGCATCAACACATGTATTAAAACTCTGTGTGCACCTTAAAAATTATGTAACCATGTTTGGTTACACACTTTCTAGCACCATAAAAAATTTTCAAACTGATCTTTATATTGGGTTCTGTGTTTGGCTGTTTTACTAAGAATATATTTCCATCATTTCATACTGTTAGACTTCCACCTAATTTCAAACTAATTAAATACTTTGGAAATGTATGTTGTACTGTCTATCAGGATTCCCAAATAATCCATTCATTTATTTTTGCTGCTCGCTTCTTTAAAGTAGAGCAATGCAGAGAAAACTAGTGCTTTGACATAGGAAAAACAATACTTTATTGTTGCCCGTTTAAAAAAAAATCCCGGAAAGCCTTTCATCCAAACTGCTGTAGTGATTATTATGATATTTAATTTGTGTTTTAATTTTCATTTATGTTATTGCTGTATGATGTCATATTTAATACAATTCCAATTAATAAGATTTAGATTACTTAAATTCTTTTGAACTAGATTAGTGTTTATATTCTTTGTAAAATGCCCTGAATTATATAAAAACGTGAAGTGCTTTTAGATTAATAAAGTTGATTTTAATTTTTAGTTTTGAAATTGTTTTCAGTCCTAAAGATGATTACCTCTGTATCATTTGTTAGATGGTTGGATTAACTAATTGTTTTGTAGATATAATGAATTGCCATTAAGTTCTGTATTTTTGTGTTTGATGTTTTAATACATGTCAGAGGGTTTTTTCTGACTACTTATGACTTCCTTCTTTTGTAAAAATCCCTGCCTTGATGTTTGCTCATGTTTGTTTTTCAGAGACTACAAGGACAATGCCACTCTGGCTCAGCTGGTTCAGGACAAACTGGATGCCTACAAGGCAGATGATCCCACCATGGGAGAGGTGAGTTCCAAGCAAAAAGTCATTTACTGCATGTGGATCTTGGTGAATGTAATGTGAATATAATGTTTACTGTTGCATTTTAGACACACATGAAACGTTTATCATCTTCCTATTGCGATGTCTGTGTTGCTGCAGGGTCCAGATAAGGCTCGCTCACAGCTGATCATCCTGGACAGGGCTTTTGACCCTGCGTCACCTGTCCTGCACGAGCTCACGTTCCAGGCCATGGGCTACGACCTGCTGCCCATCGAGAACGATGTCTACACGTACGAACGCTGAACAGAAAACATTGCATGTTTCTTTGGTCAGTAATTTGAGCAGGAAGGAATGAAAATGGATGATGAAAATGGCTTCTCCATCCTCAGGTATGACACCAGTGGCATGGGAGACTCTCGCTCAAAGGAGGTTCTTCTGCATGAAGACGACGACCTGTGGGTGAGCCTGAGACACAAACACATAGCCGAAGTGTCCCAGTGAGTACTTTTCTCTTTATCAAAATGCATATTCAAATTTTTTTTTGTCACCTAATCAATAGTGTCACCATTAATGTCTTTACATTTTATCATCAGGGAAGTGACACGCCAGCTCAAGGATTTCTCTGCCAGCAAGAGGATGAACACTGGAGAGAAGGTTAGGTCAATTAGCATTAATCTGTCAATATGTACATTTAAAAAAATGTCTCTAATTCTTTCAGACATAGTTTTTTGTGTGCCATGTCCGTTGTCTGGCACAATATTTGAGCTCCAAATGATATTGTAGCAGGTGGAGGAAGTCTGCAAATATAATTGTTAGGGTAAAGTAATTACTTTACATGGAATGTAATTACTCTCCATGTAACTCCAGTTACAGTTATTTAATGAACTAAAATGAAAATGACAATTTTTTTTCAATGTTTAACTCCATATTATGGGTATGGTGTGGTGATTAGCAACATAGGCTCAAAGCAAAAGGGTTCTTGTACAGATCCCAGTTGGGTTTTTGGATTTAGTATGCTCTGGTTCCTCCCACAGTCCCAAACCATACATGTTAGGTTAACTGGTTGAATGTGCATGGTTGTCTGTCTTGTTCGTCTCTGCGTGGCCCTGTAATGGACTTGCGTCTTGTCCAAAGTGTACCTTGCCTCTCACAGAATGACAACTGGGATTGGCTCTCGCCTTCCTGTGAGAGAGCAAAATTGACTATGAATGGGTAAAACTATTTCATAAGAAAAAGTTTAGATTAAATACAGATTTTTTGTTGTTTCAGTTCCATTTCAAATTATTAATAAAGAATGATTTCTCAGTTTTTTATTTAAATTATTTAAAATTACTAATAATTTGTACATTAATCTTTAGCTCTTCTATTTTTGCCCCTGGCCCGAAACAGGGTTTGCATCTCCATCCCTCTTTTACTAGTTCAATTGCTGAAAGAGTGGGATAGCTGAACATAGATGAAACAGTGGTAGATGAAACAGATATTGCAGTGTGAGAAGCAGTGATGGCTGCAATTTAGGTAGTGATTCTGGGATGCCAGCAATCACTGTCTAGCCTCTTGAAGATGTTTTTAAACCTAGTAGATGGTGAATACTGACACAGACTTGACAAATACATTTGTCATTACTGCTCTCTGGTCTACATAGTGATCATAGGAGAGGAGGTTCTTCATCATGTGCTGACCTAATGTTGACATTTTTGTGTTTAATTGTTAAAGTTAGGGAAAATATTTACTAAGTCTGGTCCATTTTTTGTAGCACAAACTTCTTGTGTTTATTTTGAAGTATGAAATTAAGTATTTAACTATCCTATTTTGCTTTGTTAAAGTATAGCTTATTGTGCCAACATGTTTCTTTTGCAGACGTTTGTTTATGCCCTATTAATATATGAACTTGATATTAACTTTTCATACTTTTTACATAGGTATATAACGAATAGATGGATATAAAATAGACTGTTTAAAGCTTGTGTTGTCCATCTTTTCTAAGTTAAAAACAGTTTAACTTCGAGATCCATTGTGAAAGTTTGCTTGATCCCTTTCCAGAAAGTAGCCTGTTTTAAGAACTATACTATTTTCTTGAAATTTTGGTATAGATTCAATTTTATGCTTGGAAAGTTTTAGCTTTAGTTCTTTTTAGGTATTTGATCATTGTCATGAAGAAAATTACCACTTCGCGTCTCAAGTACCTTCCAGATAACCTGTTAGTCTATATTTTGTCGATTGTTTCCCAACAGACCACAATGAGAGATCTGTCCCAGATGCTGAAGAAGATGCCTCAGTACCAGAAGGAGCTCAGCAAGGTGTGTGCATGTTTGAGTATGTAAGAGTTTATTTTTCCAGTGTACATGAGTGTGTATGGTGATCCATGTGTATTTTGTCTTCTTCAGTACTCTACCCACCTGCAGCTGGCTGAGGACTGCATGAAGCATTACCAGGGAACAGTGGATAAACTCTGCCGTGTTGAACAGGTGTGAGAACAGGGGAAAAAGGAGAAAGGGGGGGGGGGCAAATAGGAAGGAAGGCTGGATGCTCATTAAGGATTTTAGGGAAGAATTTATATTTCATGGTCAAATATGTTAGCAACTTTTAAGTGAAATGTGATTTTTCTGCTACAGGATTTGGCCATGGGCACAGATGCTGAAGGAGAGAAGATCAAAGATCCCATGAGGGCTATCGTGCCCATTCTGCTGGATGCCAATGTCAGCACGTATGACAAGATCCGTATCATTCTGCTGTACATCTTCCTGAAGAACGGTAAGGATAATGTGGCCAGAGACACAATTGACCAACCCTGTGCTGTACCTCTGTTTTTGTTAAACATACTTTGCGTAATCACTCTTTAGAGTGTTGTTATTGTTTGATGCTACTTACATTAGGCCTAATATAATATTTAAATGATACAATTTTTTATTTTAGATATATATTTAGCTATACAAAAAAAATTAAATTCAGGTAAACATGATTAAAAACACATGATAATTAAGGTAATCTGTAAATTATATTGAGGAATATGTGAGATACAAAACTAAAAAGAGGTAGTTTTAATGAAAATATCTACCCTCAAACAAGACACTTTTCCTCGTCCCAGAGCAGTTGAACATATTAAATATGAGCACGACCGTAATTTATTTTTTATTATAAGATGCATCTGCCTGTGTGTGTGTGTGTGTGTGTGTGTGTGCCTTTTTAGGCATTACAGAGGAGAACTTGAACAAGCTGATCCAGCATGCTCAGATCCCCCCTGAAGACAGTGAGATTATCACCAACATGGCTCACCTGGGTGTCCCTATCGTCACAGATGTGAGATCCTATATTTTTATTTATCCTTTTCTCTTTGCTCAAACCTTGGTCTTATAAAATGGGGCTTCTTAATATCTTTTTTTTGTCGTATTACTTTTTTTGTTTCTATGTTATTTAATGAAAAACAACTTGTGTTGCACCTCCACAAAGAACATGAATAAAATGGAGTTCCTTTTGTTGTTATCTGACCTAGCGTTTAACTGACCCTCACAGGTTTACACAAGACACACCTTAAATATTCATTTCTGAACTTTTCACCTCTCAACCTCCTCTATCCATCATCAGTCCACACTCCGCAGGGGAAAGAAGTTGGACAGGAAGGAGCGTGTGAGTGAGCAGACCTATCAGCTGTCCCGCTGGACACCACTGGTTAAGGACATCATGGAGGTTTGCTGGCTTTCCTTTCTTTAAAACGTTATACATTTTCTGCTGTTTTATTTAAAGAAATATTTCCCCTTAAACTCCTAAACCTCCCCCTCTGTTATTCACCTGATCTGTAATTTCCCATTTTAAAATACCCACTTCCACAACAGCTTTAGTCCAACGTAAGTTTTTCCTACCTCAGTTTGAAAAACTATATTTAACCTCTTATTTGTGCAAAGCTAATCCTCCACATGGTTGCTAAGAGATGTGACGCATCTTTAAAGCCCCGCTTTGGGTGTGTGTCTGTCTGTGTGTGTGTGTTAGGCAAACAAAGACCTGCTTTGTTGGTTTGTATTTTTATCTTTTTTGTTTTCTTGCGCAGGACGCTATCGATGATAAGCTGGACACCAAGCACTACCCTTACATTTCCACCCGCTCCTCTGCCTCCTTCAGCACCACTGCTGTCAGGTACTCAGATGCACACAGACATACATTTGCACACAACATCTCTGAGTCAGTTTTTGAATTACAAAGACAGAAACAGTGGCGTTAGATCAGTAGCCAAGGGTGATCAATTTCGGTATGGATATATAACTAAGGAGGAGTTAGTAAGAGTGGTAATTATTGGGACGTGAATATATGTGTGGGGCCCTGCGATGGACTGTTGTCCAGGTTGACTGTCCAGGGTGTACTTCGCCTCTCGCCCATTGACCACTGGGTGAGGCTCCAGTTCCCTCGCGACCCCGTTATGGAATAATCGGTTACGAAAATGGATGGATGGATGGATAAATATACTCTACAAGAACTGAAAACTAACAGGACATTCATCAACCTATGTTGCATAGATTTACTCCGAAATGTTGTCATCAATGTTTCCACATTTTAAAAGCTTTTTAATGGACAAAGACATTTGCAGTAGCAGCCAGGTTGCTGGTTGATAGCATAAAGTCATTTATTACATAAAATGAAGATATTTTTTTGTAAAACCAGCAAGTAGATTAAACAGTTAACCCTTTAAAGCCTGATCCAAGAAAAATAGGAAGAATATTGGATTTTTTTAGTCTGAAGTCTTTCTTTGGCCCCTCAACAACATATGAAGATAAAAAAACTGAAATTATTTTGATCAAATAAGCGTGCAATAAGTCTAAAATATATTTTGGTGTAGTCTTCTACTGGCTGTTATCAGGTATATATCTGAATGTGTAAAACAGGGGTTTGAGCAAAGCTTTTACCATTGAATGATGCAAAAAATCTCAGATCCAAAAGACTTCAGAAACCGTATGTATCAAATATGATACATTTAGCATTTTAGGGTTAATAGTGTCATCCCTGCATGCATAACACATTTCTCTCAGATAGGAAACCATTCTGTCCATAGTTGTAATAAACAGAATAAAAGTTTCCCGCAAGCCATATTCAAGCTCTCTGTTTTCATTTCTTTTCATCTGGCAGCGCTCGTTACGGACACTGGCACAAGAACAAGACACCTGGAGAGTATCGGACTGGTCCACGTGTCATGGTCTTCATCATCGGCGGTGTGTCTTTCAGCGAGATGCGCTGTGCCTATGAAGTCACACAGGCCAATGGGAAGTGGGAAGCCATCATTGGTGAGTAGCACAGGCACTGAGTGGGAAAAATGGGGTCTCGTTCACAGGCTGCGGAAATACTTTGAGACGTACACCCGCTATCTTGAGGACGGAGTGGTTGTGACTGAGGAAATATTTTGGAGTGAAAATGTGGAGGGAGATAAAATCGGTTTCCTTTCCAAGAGCCACTTTTTTTAAGTGCGTAAAGGGGAATATGAGAAAGGTGCAGGTCTGCCATTGGGGTCTTTGAAAATGATCTAAAGCCGAATAACAAATATGTTTGGGAAGATAAATATGAAGGGCACCAACTACATCATGTGAGCTGACAGGACAGTTCTAACATGAGGTACAAAACCAACAGTTACCATTTTCTTTTCAAAATTAAGAAAAGAAAGGCACAATTTTGACCTAATGTACTCAGCTTTTTTCTTTTTTTTTTTTAACTCAGAGAATTAAGTTAAATCCAGTTTTTAATAAAATGTGCAATACTTAATAATACAACAACATTAAAACAACTACAAGAGCTACAGTTTGATTAAAAAGATTGCAATTAAGTCTGGGGATGAAATGGCTAAAACAAAAGTACTGCAGTAACTGTGAACCCAGATGCCCTAACCCTAACACAATATCAGAGTGGACCCAGCAATGAAAAATGTCACAACACAAAGACACTCGATAGGCGCGAAGCACTGCTTCGGAAAAAAATACAATTAGTAAAGTCAATAGCATTATTGATATTAAGGCATGAAACAAGAGAAATGTAGAAAGTAATTAATTACAGGAAACAAACCAACAAAGCAAACCGAGTCTCGTTTATCCAGATGTTTATTATGTGGTCCACATGACAGCCACTTCAATAGCTTAATTTGCGCAACAAGATTTTCTCTTGGAACACTGAAAGTAGTGTGAAAAAAACTCCATCTCTTTTTACTTAGGCTGACTTTATGATAATGATACATTTATGTAATGATATAATTATCATAGAGTCAGCCAATAAGGTAAGCTTTCTCATCATTGCCTACTAAAGCTACTTCACAGCTGCTTGACAGTAGAAATGTCTGTTATTTGCTCACCAGCCAATAATGGTTAAGATAACATATTCAATATTTTTTTTGTTGGATACAATCATTCATTATAAGTATACTGAAGTCTAAAGTTCAACTGTCTATTACTTAAGATGTGTATTCTACCCAAACCAGCATCTGTTTTACATCTGTTGACACATAACTGTGAAAGTCGAGCACACAATTAAGAAGCAAGTTTCCAAAATGGATAAAAACTGTGTGCCCCTATCTGTTTAATACTGTGACCCACAAAGAATGACAGCCAAAGCATTCAGGAAAAGTACAAGTAATATGCACATATTTTGTTTGCGGATACAATGGGAAAATATCTTATTTAGGAGGTCACAGGAGAAAGCACTCTCAAGAAAGAGAATTGTGATCCTGAATAAAAAGAGTCAAAAACACAAATTGTTTTTAAAAGCAAAAAGAGTTGGTTTGCCATTGAACTGAATGGGGTGGAATTTGCCAAACATAGACCGAAGTCCTGAACTGGTTGCCGATGCGAGCCAATGCCCAGATGCCTACAGGAGCAAAAAAAAAAATAAAAAATCCCAAAACCAACATAGTTCCTAGAAACACACAAAAAAAATCAATACAACTAACCTATAGCCCTTTATGTCATGGCCCTCTGTATTGTTTATTTGATGTCTTCAAGCTTTGCCATCCAGTCTGTCTTTTTAAATGGAAAGTGTCCTGTTAGTTTTTGTTGTGCTCTGCTTCAGCTGTTGTCTTTCAAACTGTTGTCTTTAAATTGCAGCTCTGCCATGTATTCTTCTGTGTCTGTGCACCCCAAGTTTTTGCTTTTTTAAGTGTTTGTGCAACATGGTGAGTGTGTGTTTCTTGTGAGTACTGTCGGTGGGCGATTGTGTCTCTGTGTGTTTGCTATGTGCGACAGGTGTTTTTTTTTAATTTTTTTTTTACTCTTTTGTTTTTTGGAGAGAGTGGGGGAGGAGCGTGGCATGTGCTGTGAGACGAGTGGTGAAGCCACCTCTGTTCCTCCACAGGTTCCACCCACTTGCTCACCCCCACCAAATTCTTATCGGACCTGCAGCACCCCGACTTCCGAGAGTCCACTAGGGTGTCCTTTGAGGACGCAGACCCCTCAGCCGAGTGAGGCAGAGACAGATTGGGAGGGAGGGAGAGAGAAATCACAGAAAAAAGTAAAGACAGCCGCACAAAGAAGCCCTTTCTGAACCTTCACAGCACAAGGGCTTCCTGGTTCCTCCCTCTTTTTTTAACACTCAGTACCGTCTTATATAACTTCACCCTCTTCCTCCCTGTATCCCTCAGGGATGTAGACCAACACCCTTCCTCACTGCATGGACCACTCCATCATTACTGCATATTGAAATAGATGTGGCATTTAATTAAGAATTAAAAAAGAAAGTTGCATTATTTAAAATTCTTTAAAGGAATAAATAAGCCCTTATATGCAACGCCATGTCAAGTCTTTTTTTTTATCAGCTAAATAGCTCTATGCTGATTTGTGGCCATGCTTGGGGAGGTGGTGATTCCATCCCTGCTGCCTCCTCCCATCATATTAGCAGGGTGGATTAAATCACAAATTGATGGCCACCGAAAGGCCCTTTGAGACTGTCTTAAACTTTCCAGATTTAATCTACCCCAACATCCTTAGCAATTTTACTGTCTGTTTATTTTTCCGGTTTAAAATAATAGTCACATTAGTTTGTCTGTGATTTCTTTTTAAACAGATCTTTGAGTTAATGTTGGTTTCCAGAGTGGCATTATCAGTTTTTCCTTGTGTGTCTCTCTTTTGCTTTTGACACCCTCTTATTTGACTATGCAAATGCTCACATGGCTCATGACATGTCTGTAGAGTTGGCCAGGTTTTAATTAAATCCAACAATAGCCGTACTTTGAAAATGTGGGCACACGGGGCAAATTTAAGGAGAAAGTAGACGGGAAACAACCGAGCAACCTCACAAGAATTTGTTTCTGCCTCCCTGAAGTTTGCCCACTGTATCACGTCCTCTGTGTGGCCTATCTACAGACTCAGATTGACTATGTAGCATTGTTCTACGTGATATGCTTTAGCAACCCAAATATAGTGAAGATTAAATCAAGATGTCAAACAATCCTGTTTTGACCCCAAAATTTTTTGCCATATGTAACGAAAAAAACAAATGAATTATTTGAGACAAATATCTATAGATATGAAATAATTTGCTCTCTTCTACTGAGCATAGTTTTTCTTAGGATGGACACTTTTGCAGAAAAAAACAACTAAAATATGAAAGTGTTCCATTACCAGGCTAGTTTTTTTATTCATCCGGAGAAAATAGGGTACTTAATGTTTAAACATGGACCAGAATACCCCCTACATTAAAAAAATATATTTTCATTTACTTGATTTGAAATCTAAAAGTTGCAAGTGCCATAGAAATCCATAAAAAACTGATCAGTGCTTTCTGAATTACAGGCATTCCTGCCTAATTCCACTGAAATATCTCTTCATTTTCACTGATTAGTTAATTACTAGTAATAAATTGATCCCATATTGAACAGAATTTCATCAACGGAGGTCACTTTTATGAAAGAATTTTAGAAATATCCTTGACTTGTTGTTTTTACAAACCATATATTGTGGTTGAGACCAATTCCCACTGAAGGCCAAATCCTTGATACTCATCCCATTCATGACTAACCTGCTAAAGCAATATCGTTAACAAAATAGTCAGCAACTCTCACCATAAGCAGTATGACCGCTGCCCTGCATACTGCCACCCTCAGCACGACGAAGCAAAAATAACCGCATTACTTAAGCAAGTCTTTCTTTTATTTTATTAACCCAGTCATCTGTAGCAAATTTTTTTGTGTTGGAAATTAAGATCACAGTGTTGTTTCTGGGGTGAAAAAAGGCCCACGAAGCTGTGTGTTTAGGGAACAGCAGAGAAGCAGGCAAGACCAGTCTGTTAACCCACACTGAACCTCCACTCACAATCCCTGTCACCTCCAACTCCCACATCAACGTAACAATCTAACTCAAGATGAGATTGCCTCTTTCTCTTCTGCTGTCTTTTTTTAACATTGACTTACATCCACTTGAAGGATCAGGTTGAGTATGAATAAGGTACAGAAACTAATCAGGCCCAGTTGGAAGAAACATGCAGCTTTGCAACAGAAACAAACCAGCCTAGGTCCAGTTCTGTTCTAAATGTTGAACAGGTGTGAGGAGTAAATCAAAGCCTTCTTTTGCCTCCATAATCTATCGGTAAATCTGGTAACTGGTTACACAAAGTTGGCAAAGTGCTTGCTTTACTCCATGAAGCACCTTTTTAAATGTACAATGTGTGAAATGTGTCTTCAGCTGTTCATCCCAGACTTATTGGGGTTACTCTTAAATTTCCATTCACTCACACTTTAAGCAAAACTTAACTCTCTTGTTTTGGGTTTGGTGACATGCAAAGGGGATTTACTTCTGCTTTTCTTCCAGCTTTTTTTTAGCAGTGTTTTTCTACTGTTTGCATGGGATTGACTGATACAGTTATTATGTGCAGTCTGGTTTGACCTGGCATACTGATTTTATTTTCAGAATCACACAATGTGCCATGTCCTTCCTTATGTTAATTTGTTTGCACTATAACACAGCTTAATGAACAACCTGCAATCTAAATAAAAAAATCTAACTAAAAACATAAAGTTTAGAATGAGCTTAGAAAGTTAAGGTTTAGAACAAAAGCACAAGTAACTTATTTTCTTTCTCTTAAGTCCACATGGACTACTTTTGCTTTCCTTTGGTGCTATGTTTCAAATTCAACTGGATTTATATGGAACTGAATTACTTATATTCAAAACTTTGAAGTTATCATAGAAATAGATTTAGACTGTTAAATTAATGTTGTGTTAAATAGTATAACTCTTGGATACATGCATGTTGAGAGCTGTAACTTTGCCTTTTACCATTTGGGTTTATACAGCACTATTTATCCACGTATTGTGTACAATTGCGTTACAATGATCACCTGTAAAAGAAAGAAAAGCATCCTATCTATAGACAAAACGTATGAGATAATCAATCAAATGTTCAATTCAAAACATTTTCATTGATTCTTTTGTAACATTTTTGTCCTCTAAATGCAGAGGCAGTAGCATTTGAAGTCAAAACAGGTTAAGAATTACCTGCAGTTAGAATATTTCAATAACACAAGTTGGGAACTCAACTAAGTGGAGTCTGGCCTTTGGAAAGAAGTGAATCAGCAGTTTTTGGCCTGAGCAGGACACTATCCTGTTTTTTTACATGATTTCATTGCCAAGATAGTTTACATTTATTCAAAAGTTTCTACATTTGAGCTTTGTCTCCATTCAGGAAACTACTTCTTCTACTGAGTTATAGCCAAAAGCATTTGAAGCTTTTACCACCACCTTGTGGGGATGCTACTGCATTCACTTAAAAGAAAAGTATTTCCTTTTTGCACCATTTTGCAAGAAAGTAGTGCTTTTTTATATTGCAAGGTTCAAATTGGTTTTATTTGGAGCAACATTCTCAAATACAAATGGCTCTCTTAATTAAGCTCTCCAGTCTCAGAGTCAGCAGACTAACTTTTCGGTTATTCATTTTCCTTTAGAATCTGGAATCTTTTTCTTGTAGGGAAAAACAAAAAGAAAATCACGTTAAAAAATGGCGTAATGTCTTGCAGTGATATCTGCATGTCAGATTTACATGACTTGAAGCACTGATTATGTAAATATAACAAGTTGAATGATCCATCTCCATTTCACCAAAATATAACATCAGCTATTTCTAAAAATTCTGAAATTTACAGGTTAGTTACACACCTTGTCTTGCACCTAATAATTTTGATCACGGAATTGTGTCCACGGTAAATGTGTCCGAATTTGTATAAGGTTAAAATGATAACACCCATTATGAATTGGTTTTGAAATTCAGTTTCCAATTTAATTGGTCTTCTTCTCAACGACTACAAACCAATGCATGTAATTGTTTTCCTTTACGTCTTAGAGTGCCTTTGTTTGATGAGAGACAAAGATAAAGAGAATAATGGGACTAGAGTTCACATACATACCCTTGCAAAAGTGAGGTTTCACCATTAGTTCAAGTTCAGTTTTTTTCATCTAGGTTGTGCTATATTGGACCTTTAAGTAGGTAAAACCTTCAGTAATAATTTCTCTAACACAAAATCCAGTTTTAACATGCTGCCTAACTGTTTATTTAATATGATTTCTTAACAAAGGCTTCTATTTTTTTTCTTTTTGTTTCATACAAGATGCAAAAAATGTCATCTAGTAGTCATTCATTACAAGAGCTGAAAACACATTTTTTTTGTCTGGTTCTCAGCCAGTGTGCAGATCTAACATTTTACTTTTGTATGTGTGTGTGTGTGTTTTATATGTGTGCGTGTCTCCAGGATCCACCCATATCTTCACACCTACCAGCCTGCTGGAGCAGCTCAAGGCCATGAACAAACCTGATGAAGAAGTGACAAGTTAAAATACTTCAATCACATTTTCCTCCTCATGTCCTCAGCGTCCCCCACCGACCCATATTACCTTCATATCCTACCCAACAAAATCCTACCCATTAATTGTGTATGCATCTTGCTTGACAAAAAAAGATAACTAAGATGATAGAAAAAATATTGTTTCATAAAAGAATAAAAATGTTCCAAGTATTGACGTTTTACAATGGATGCAACAAAATAAACTTATTTAAAAATGATTCAATATCTGACTAAAAGGCCATTTAAAACGGAAAGTACCAAAATGTCATGTTGTATGCTATGAACCTTGCTAGAATGTGTAAAAGGTAGACATCTTTTAAATCTTTTGGGTTACCTCTTTGGTGTCAGTTTTAAAAGATGCAGGTGGATGGGGGGGGTGCACTTTGAGAGGTTCATATTGTAAAATATATCTACATGCAATATAAATATATATATGTACACATATATTTCATCAGAGAGGAGCCCCACCCTTCCATTTGCGATGTTGGTATTCAGTAGCATGCTTGGATCTGTGTGGATTGTTCTGTGTATGTATCAAGTGTGGGTGTACTGAGAGCAGCAAATTTAGCATTTATTCAATTCTTATGATGTGGTTGTATACTTCACCAGAAACTTTTGTTCTGAGTATCAAAGTGTGCTTTGAATCTGTTCTAACTACTTTACCACCTTACATGCATTATAAAATAATTGCAGGTCGGGCCCACAAAAAGTGATCGCTTTGCTTTGCTTTTAGCTTAGTGAACCAGCTAACTACACCAAACTGTTTTGGAGACATATGGTGATGGAAACCTTTGTAGTTGTAGGTGCTCAACATACAACACAGCTGATGTGTTTTTGATACTCAAAACAAGTTTCCAGTGCAAGTATTGAGTCAAATGCTTGGTTTAGCCAACAAGGAAAAAAAAACATCCCTCCTCTGGCTGCACAGACTGCTTATTCTTGCAGGAACCTTTTTTCCGTTCTTTGGAAAGAATTCACATTTTGATGTTGAAAAGGCCGTTGCTTGCTGATATTTAATGAATAAACTAAGGGCCAGATGTGTTTCAGTATTGTATCTTGTCAGATTAAGTCTCATCATTGGTTAGTAATGATGTTTAATTGGGCCATGCACAAAGTAGTGTTGTGTATATGCCATATGTTGCTGTTTTAGTGTCTTACTGTTGAATGGTATTTTTTTCTGATTGTGCAGTAGATAATTTTCATTTAAAAAGCCAATGTGAAGCCATCGTGTTTGTGATGTTGTAGCTGTAGCTGTTAGTGGTCTACTGGAAAAAAATTATCTACATTTTCTCCGTCTATTTTCTCCTCTGGTGCAATGTAAAACCCTCCAATTGTGAATGGCTTTGCAAGGGAAAAATAACCTATACCTATGCCACTTTCTTTTCCTCCCACTTTAGCCTCTTTCCCAGCCAAACAAGTTGTATATTGCACTATATAGTGTTTTTCTGTGATGCAAATGCTTGAGTTTTTTTTTAATTATTTTAAATTATTTGCTCTTATATAGGGTTTACTCTGTCAAATCAGTTGATTTCTATCAAGATTATTTATCAGAGAAAATTATTGGAATAGTGTGTCCTAATACTGTCTCACTTAACGGGTTTGTATGTTTGCAAGTGTCTAAGCACAAACAGTACTTCCATGTGTACCCAATATGTACTTAGGCTGTCAAATAAATTGGCTTCCATTATATGAAGGTCCTTTTATTTTTATTTTTTGAGGTATGAGGAAAAAATCAAATAAAAGTGTATATTATTATTGTTATTTAATTTTATTTGGTTTGTAAGAAACATGGAATAATTGCCTGCAAAACGTATAAAAGATGCACACCATCAATAGATGGCAAAAGATGGCTTCAGATCAGTCAAACAAAATATACATCACAGGAACTCCTCGGTTTACAGGTTAAGGGTGAGGTAGGCGCTGACAGAATGAAAACAACTATTACTGTTTCAGTGTCAGTGTTAAATATTTTAGTACAAAGTTGATTTAGATTTGGATCTATATGGCATTTCTGACAACAGGTTTTCCAATTTTCAAATAAAGCTTAAGACTTCAGGTATACAAATAGTACATTTTCAATAATATCTACCACAGTATCACCCTTATGACTTATTAAGCCTGAGGTTTGACAGAATCATTAGTTTAAATAAAGCACACTACTACAGCTTCAGATCAGTGGGAAAAAGAAAAGAAAAATCACTGAAAATGTAATTTTGACTTCTACAAAACCAGTAACTCCAACAATAATAAACCTAAAATACAGCACAAACTTAAAAAGCTGCAAAATCTAAGTTAAATATTTATTTGTAATGACGAAAACACTTATCTATATTATATGTAGAGGAAAATCAATATGATCTACAGTACTTCATCACTGAAAATTGACCTATTTAAATGTATGCTAGCACATCTGCTCCTATAAATATTAAAACTAATTCAACATATTCATGTTTGGTCACTTAACATAGAGTTACAGTTAAAAATAACTAAGAAAAAAAAAAGAAAAAAAACATTACAAAATAAGCTTATTATGTGTTTTTATTCACTGTGTTTCTGCAGAGTTCTTTTTTTCTTTTTTTTGGTCTCGGTGAAGTTGACACTTCAGATTAGGACTAAGTCAGCAGCCCCTGATACCGTAGTCCTGTAGCCAGAGAGTAAGCCATGTGTCTGGAGGTGAGTTTCATATGCTGGGCTGCTTTGATGGCTCTGTCCAGAGAGCTATCCGCCGAGTTGCGTTTGTCTACTGACACACTTGTGCTCTTCACCCTGCCTGTTCTCTTCCCAGTGGTGCTCACTCCTGTGGATCTGTCTTCAAGTTTGTGAGGAGATAGTATAACGGGTGAGGAATACAACCTAAGGATTATAAGAGTAAAAGAAGTTAAGGCGAAAAGTAAATCAGCACCCTGAATGTTTTTCTTCAAAGATGTCATAATGCGTTAAAAACATCCATGATGGTTGCACTGTAGCTATTTTCGATCAAAGAACACACCCTCTACTAAAGATGATGGCAAATCTTTCAAATGATCACAAAGACAAACAATAAATAAATACTGCTCATGCTGTAGGTTTATGGTCATATGAGATCAAGTTTTCCAAAAGTTAATTCCACTTTATCCATTAACTTTTTCCAATAACATCCACACTATTCTTTATGGAAACTCTTCGCTGTGCAGCTTGAGTAGCCTGTTTGAGTGTAACCAAGCACTATCAGTCATACTTCCAGCTGCATCATTTGAATGCGTTGTTCTGGCTTTGAGAAGTTCCTTTTTTTCCCTTATTCAAATCTTACATCCATCCATACTGATTGGAACAAAATTTTACCAATTCTATCAAAATGACTAGGCTTGTCCCGATCCGATATTTGGATTGGATCGCAAAAAAATGCATATCGGCTGGCATGAGAAAATGCAGATCCAGACTCCCGATCCAATTTTTTTTTTTTAAAGTCCGATCACACACGAGCATTAGCATCTCCTAACCCACAAGTCTGTGTCCTAACCATTAAGTTGTTATAAGAGTAAATCACTGTTCAACATGAGTCTGACAACTAAATAAGTAGGCTAAATAACTTTAAACTTTATACATGCTCTGATAGGCTGGTATTGGTATCAGCCGGTATCGGATTGGAAGTGCAAACACAATATCGGTATCGGATCGGAAGTGCAAAAAGCTGGATCGGGACATCCCTAAAAATGACTAGTCAAATATCATACCAGAATTCAGTGACACAAAGGCAGCAGAGTTAATGCTGAGAGGCCATCTACTTACAGGAGCTGAGATGGGCACACTGACATCAGAGGTAGACCTGCACAGGATCTGCTGCTGGCTCTCCGAGGAGACCTGGCTGTTCGGTGGTTTAGGTGTTTGTATGATCCTTCTTTTTGTAAGTCTGTGAATATCAAGGCGTGTCAGGTGAACCTTTCACATCGTAAGACTTAAGTTTCTTGTCTTCACACAATACCTGATTCAGTACATCTGTGGGGTTCTGGAAATCCACTTGAAGAGCATAGATGACAACAGTATGTTGGGTGTCCGCTAGCGCCTCCTGGTCCTTAAAGTACAGATCAATCAAAATCAGAGGCTTCTAAAAATACTGAAATGTACAGTTTAGGATTAAAGGGGAACACTTACGATCAGCAGGTCCTCTGAGACTTGATAAGCAACGAGGACAAAGAAAACTTTGATCTCCGCTGTCACGCTCATCTGCTATGTCCGACACAAAGGGCTGTCCTTTAAAAGCAAACACACACAATCTCTCATGAGAAAAGAGACCATGTATTTTTAAAAATATTCACACACATCAAATTCTATTTCTTTTAGGAATTAAAATCACAGTTAAAGCCATATATATTTATTCAATTCAATTAAAAATAAAAAAGGAAAACAGGGTGGAAATCCCATTTCTGTACCATGACAGGGAGCAGGAAGAAGTTTTTAAATCTTTCTGACAGAGATTAATGTTTAGTTCGTCTCACTACATGAGTTGAATATTCATTGTAAAACTAGCTTTGTTTTATGTTAAGAAATGAAGAGAAAAATAAATAACTGTCAACCCCAGATGGGTGAGCAGTACATGTTCTTACGGGCTTGTTTCCTTGTGCTGCAGGCAGGAGCTGAACAGCAGCCGTCTGGTGCTGCAGATGTTTGAGTATATCTGGATGCCAAGGCCAGAGGCTTTGGTGTTGAGGGCTGCAGTGCTGACTCTGTCACTGAAAATGTGATTGGCACATACTGTTTGGTTAGAGCCACACCAGATTTCACAGGTTCAATGTAACCTACTGATTCGACCTCAATTAAATCAATAATGTTCAACAATACGATGCTCTGGACCACAGGAAATGTGTAAAATGTCTTGCATAACATGTTGCTATTCTACTGAAGCCATTTAAAAAACATTTGGATTTGGACTTCCCTGCACCTTTCAACCACGAAGCCACAATCTGCACTGGTTAAAAAGAAAAAAGAGGATCTAGGTGCTGGACTGCCAGCTGTACTTAACTAAAGAGAGGTTGTGTGCAGAAATATGAAATACAAAATCCTGAAAGGTAAAAATGGAATACTAACAAGTGGAATGAAGTTGATGACAGATTTTCTTTTCAACTTTAGCTTTAAACTGTTGCAACTGAAATAAAATCTAAACGGACAGGAATTAGTGGTTCAGATTTTCCTTTGTTCCCCAGTTTATTCTGATTAGCGATCTATTTTGATTTGGATGATCATAGAGATATATGATCGTAGAGATCACCGAGTCAAAAACTCACAGATACGATGCTGTGGTACAGAAGTTGACCCCTCCCTTGTTGTATCTCTTAATGTTGACTCCTCTTCACTGTCATCTGCTATACAGGTTCCTCTTCCTTCTGGACTGACATCACTTCTCTGTTGTGTGGACCTGAGCAGTGGGAAATGACTTTTTGACACAAACCAACATCAAAAACTAAGCTAACAAACATTAGTAATAGTGTTTTTGTTATGCAAACTGGCTTTTTGAGTAGCAGTATTTCTAAGGTTTTAAACTGAGGATAAAAACCAACCCTTTGCGAGCTGAAAAACTCTTCTCAGCTGAAGGAGCTTCTGTCAAAGCACTGACAGGCTTCATAGCTGTCAGGTAGCCTTCTAGTCTTTCATTCAGTCTGGTTAACTCAGCTTGCAGTGAAAAGAATGCATCGCTATAAAAGAAGAAAAACAACTAAAAACATAGCTTATATCCTAAAAATACCAAACTGTATATATGTATCACTCTTCAGTTCATTACAACAGGTTTCAGGTTAATACTGGAACAGGCAAAGATATGTGACCACCAAAGTGCTACAAGGTGAGAATTATGCCATATTACGTGTCTGTAGTGTCAACCCCGATATATGCATACATGTACATACACACACACGCACGAAGAGTCATGCGACTTCATACCATGCAGAGAAACGTTAGCACCCATAATATACAACCCCGTTCAACAGCAGCCGATTCTGTGATAAAATACTTGGGGTTTTTTTTCAAATCCATAACATGACAGATAGGTAGATAAGCAGTTAATTGAGTATAAATGCAGCACCAGCTTTCATGCCCATCAAAAATGTTGAATTTATAGTAACAGACAAATCTGGAACTAGCACCTTAAAGTTTGGCGGTGGATTTCTGGATCATTCTGTGTGATTGTGAAGCTTTTCCACCTAAAGTCCCATCCCAGTGTCTCTGCAAGGAAACACATTCTTGCTCTATTTTGAGGGGCCATGGTCATGGCAGCTGCAACAACACACTCACTTGCAATTTGCAACTTGACTAAAGCTCATTGCTCTCAGACGATCTTCATGGTGACAGCGTGCTGCTGGCGAGGAGCTTAAGTGGGTGCTATGGAGAGAATTGCTGGAGTCTGAGTACTGGTCACTCTGCTCTACCTCAGACCCAGTGTGAACTTTGAGAGAAGAAGAGAGATTATTTATAGATACTTCGGCAGAAAACAGTGCAGCAGATTTTACAAAACACATGGAAGCTAGTGTCAAAAAGCGTTTCTTAAGATTGCAGGTAAGAGTTTACAATGCTTTTATTATGTCATACAAACACCTTAGATAATGAATTACTGGAAAGAACTGGAGACTCACTCACTGGTTACACTTTTGGGACTGTTCCAGCACTGAGGAGGGGACGTCAGTCTGCGTCTCCTCTGCCCCTTCTGTCTGACTCTTATGGACAGGTGGGAACTGAGCTGGGAGGCTGCTCTGGGCTCCTCGGCCATGCGTCTCAGTAATGGGGACGAAGGAGATGCAACAGCGGCTGGGCTTTGCTGAGCTCTCCTGTCCTCTCCAAACACAGATAAACTGTAAAACCACAGCATAATATTCCATTATACAAAAAGCAGCACAAAAAAGTCACATATGTGATAAAAAAAAGAGTGCATTGATGAAAGTAATTAAAGAATGACAAGCGTTAGACTTCACACCTCTCTGGGGCCCTCTGGTGGAGAACACTGGAAATCTGAAGACAGCTCTCTGAACCCACAAACCCACTGTCAGTCTCTGGAGAGATTATTCCATCCTGCTCAACACAGCACACAATAGCAATGAATTAAAATGCCACAATTAATATTAAAAAAAAGAAAAATACATTTTGGGAAATTAAGTAGTAAAAAAAAAAAATTCAGTCATTCAGAATAGTTAGAACATTTTGTAGTAGAATGTTAAATCTAAATTTTGTAAGTCGCTTTGGATAAAAGCATCTAAATGCAAAAACGGAAATGTAGAATAGATCCAAATAACATGCGAAAACAAAATACATAACTTAAAGACAGATATACACATAGATGAACTATGTGACAATGATCTGCTCCAATTCTCCCAAGTTTGGTGACAGGAGCAGTTAACAACAAAACTGACCTGAGAGAGTGCTCTTTTACTGCCCTTTTGAGCCATGGAGCTCCTCCTCTCTGATGCGAGATCTGCTATGCTACTCAGACTGCTGCTGTGGGACCTTCTCATTTCTGAGCTCCTTCTGCAGCTAGAAGGAAGAACAGGCAGCATGGTTGACTGGCTGAACAGAGGAGGGCTGGACCTTGAGCTCCGCTGCCTGCTGGTGTCCATTGGAGGGTCCTGATGTTGGTATTTTGCATTCCTGTCAACACGGATGTAAAGACAAATTTGAAATTAGTATCACTTAAAATTATTTTTGTTTACAAAAGTTCCGTAATCTTTTCAACGTTGAAACAAATCCTTTAAAAAAATAAGAAAGAATTCTTTCAAACTCTGTTTATGTCCTGCATTTTCTATTGAAGTTGGTCCCTTGTTGAATCAGTGCTGGTGTTACAGTAATTTTCAAGTTGATCCAACAAGGACTCGGCAAGTATAGTCTCAATTTCCTTGAGATCAGCACAGGAAGGCACTATCTGACAATACAGCACAAACTGTAACATCATTCAGTGTTCAAATACTGAACACTATCGATAAAAGGTTTATGTACAATGTTTCTGGCAGATGTATGAACATCAGGAATTATTAAATGACATTATTAAACTTTGGATTAAAACAAGGATGTGAATACCCCTGTGTCCAGAGTACTTGGTGGGTTTAAAAAAAAGGAAAATAAATCAGCAAAACCAGAAAATCAAACATCTGAAGAAGAGAAGATAAATACTGAACTCTTCTTTCCACAACACAATGAATTTGCTTCCATGTTGTGGCTCAACCTTCTGCTGTTTTCTGTTAGATTAAGCGGAGTAAATATTACATAGCCATTGATTTTTATATCTATTTTCAAAAAGAGAGTTGGTGTTGTTGCTGTTCCAGTGTTTTGGGGCTGGAGCCAGACCTTTGACACCAGAAAGTAATCATACTGAGTTTAAAGTGTGGACAGCAACTAGAACAGCTTTAGATATTAAAGAAATTGAAAGACATATGGCTTTTGACACATCCGTCTTACTGTCGTAAATATGGTTAGCCTTCTCTAAGGACTGACCTTTTTGAGGGAGTTTTACTGACTTCGTCTGTAGCCTTCTGACCTTGCTGCTCTTCTCTCTCGGCCTTGTGCTTCACAATAACTTTCAAAGCAGCAGAGAAGGGGATTTTGTGACGTTCCCTAAAGCTTTGGAGGTGAATTAGAAAAAAAGAAATAACATTCAGAAGCAAATAATGCGAAGTATGAAATTGTGCACTGTTTGATTATATGAAATTTTCAAACATTACTAAAGATTAGAAGATAAAATGCTTAAAAGCAGACTATTCAGACAGTCAAAATCACCACTCACTGATCCGCTGAGATGTCTGGCACAACTCGTCTGTGTTTGTTGATCAGAGGTCTGCGATAGAAAAGCTGGAGAGTATCTTTATCCTCTGGTTCCTCTTCAGAACTACTTTTAAAGGCAAAGCTCTGCGCCGCCTCTGCTTGGCCATCTTGCGAGGACACAGTTTGGCTCTGAAAGGAGATAATTAGAACCAGAGTATTATTCATGTGTGGGAACACAGGACATTTACATAATCTTTTAGTTTACATAATCTTCTAGTTATTTTTTCACAATACTGACCAGCCATAAGCTGCCAATTACAATGAGATACAAATGCTCAAAAGTCTGTTTCTCCCTTTAATTCCACATGGCACAGTGATACAAAACATTATGTCTGTACCTGTGAATAAGATGGGGTTTCTTCCTCCTCATTTGGGTCAGATGAGGAGATGGGCTTAGGCGGTGAAGAGCCAGAAGCCTCCTGCCTTCCAGGCTCCACCTGCTCCTTCAGTTCATCCACACGCAGCCCACACTGAAAGATCAGTCCCTCCAACTCCCTGGTGCATACACCATGGACCCCCCACAAACACCCAGAAGATAATAACTACGACAGTCACACATAAATAAAAAAAATTAAATTTATGCCTGAAATGATGTGTTACCGTTCGGGGTCAAAGCAGCAAGTTTCTGCTCCTCCCTGATGCAGTAGTTTATATTCATCCCTTATTAAAAGATAGCCTCTTTCTAAGGAGTTTAGCCCCTCAGTAAGCTGAGAGAGAGCCTAAAGAAGAGCATCCGTCCATTATTTAGGGTATAAGGCAGCCATTAGAAGGTTTTATTGCTTATCTGCCTTCAACTTGTTGTTCTCACCTCAATTTTTTCATGAGGCCTGAGTTTTTCACTCTTAAGGAAATCCTCAAAAGTCTGCACCTGAAAGAAAATGACAGTTGTGACCTGTGATCCTGTAATCTTGAATATTCTGTAAAATGTTTTGTTTTTTCTTTAAATCAGGTTTTAACTTGTCAGTAACCTGCTGAAGAAACTTGTCAGCCTGATTGGACAGAACATGTCCCAGGCCTCTGGTAGAAGGAAATCCATCTGGGCTGTCTGTTCAAAGGAAAGTTGGATTGAAAGAGAAAAAAATAACATGATTCAAGTTTAACATATATACGATTTCAGCAGCAGCTGCAAGAACACAAAAGCTATACCCTGAGGAGCGCTGTGTCCATTTGGATGAGAATCGGCTGAGCTCATCTCAGCTTTGTGAGCCGGAGAATAATTCAGCTCAAGGAGCTTTGAGGCATTGTGGTTCAGTTCTGAAGGTACAGAGCTGCCCGCCATCGGAGGGTCTGAGTGCAGGTTAACCTGGTGGAAACACAGCAGAACAATCGAGTCACTGATTACCAAGTTGTTCATCTGCTTAAAGCAGAAACCCTAAACTCTGAAGAAATCTTAAATAATTTCTTCTGCCATTTCCCAAAACAATGTAAAATTACTATCATCTCTCAACACTTGTGACTTCCTGATTTTTTCATTGAGGCAAAGGTTTTTTTCCAGACCTTTTTTTAATTTGCAGCAAAAACAAAGAAAACATAGCAAGCACTGCATTATAGAACCACGACGTGAGGCAAAGAGGATGGAAAAAGAGGATGAAAAAACTTGGAAAAAAATAGAAAAAAAAATCCTCTTGTTAAGGATGCAATGTGAGTCATCAAAACTAGAACTAGAATAAGTTTCAGATTAAAGGATCTGAAGTTCTACACTGCTGACAGCAGATTTAGTATAAAGTCCTAGTCCCACTTGGCTTGTACAGAGCTAAATGTGCAGGAGGAAACAGATGGTGGAGCGGTGTTGTGCTGAAGGGGATGAATGAGAGGTGGGAAGTTCAGTCTGCTGGTTTTAATTGGCGCTGCTGCCTGGGTGCTTTGCCTCTCAAACGCATATGGGACCAACAATTCTATACAGTGTTGCTCTGCCTGCTTTTGCTGCCTCCGCTTCCAAAACTTCTCAAATGTCTGCTAACTGTTACTGTCACTGTTTCTGACATACTGCTCTGTCTGAGTTGTTCTGTCTGGACCCGGACTGCTCACTGTCTGTTTCTCCATCCTGTGGAAGTAGAATTTCTTTCTTTCAATACAGTTAAAAAGCATAATATAAATGTAAATATGTTTTCTCCTTTCATTTGTCACCCATTTAATGTTTATTTTAGGAAGTGGGATTTTTTAAAATCCAATCAGATAAAAAGTTACATTTTAATAATAGAGAAATCAGTAGAGATAGGTGGTCCGATAAACTTTCCATAAGCTACAACATGGTACAGTAAGTTAAATGTGAGATGAACAACAAATCTCTATGATGGTACTCAAAATTTTCCACATTGACCAGTGATATACGATGACTGGGGCTTCAGATTATTAACCTTAGCTTCAAGACGTAGACGATCAA